GTCATTTAAAACGAACACATTCAAACCCACGACAGAGACAGAAAAACAAAATGATTGGGGGAGTGGGACCAGAGTCTGTGTGTGTGTGTGAGAGAGAGAGATAGAGAGAAAGAGAGATAGAGCGAGAGAGAGAGAGCGAAAGAGAGAAAGGGGGGGGGGATAGAGATAGGGAGAGAGATAAAGAGAGAGAGTGAACGAGAGAGAAGCTGTCTGTGTGAGAGAGAGGAAATGGTTGAGACAGAGAGTGCACGAGAGCGAGAGAGAAAGAAAAAGAGAGACAGAGACAGAGACAGGGAGATAGAGAGACAGACAGAGACAGAGAAACAGAGACAGAGAGACAGAGAAAACAATAAGAGCAAACCAACTGTACAATATTTACATCACGTCAACCGATATCACAATAAATTAGCAAATCTCATCAATTCACACAGCTCTTATATAACATAACCGTCAAACCACCTAAACGCTTCTCACGTCAACATATTAAACATAAACAGCAACAGCACTATGAAAATCAGCAGCCATGTCAACTGAGATGTAGCTTACCACAGACCACTAATGTCTCTCTATATAATTAACGTGGGATTGATTACAGCAAATTAGGAGCATTTTATATCAACACCAAAATAATGAGGTATAGGCTGACTGTGATTCCCACTTAACGTAAACATAGCATTATCATCATCATCATCATCATCATCACCATCATCATCATCATCATCATCATCATCATCATCATCATCATCATCATCATCATCATCATCATCATCATCACCGTTGTCATATACACATAAATTATAATCACGTTCATTAACAATGTAAGAAATAACGAGATGTAGACTCTATATGAGATTAGGACATTAATAATAATAATTTTTTTTAAAAATGATAATAATAATAATAATAATAATAATAATAATAATAATAATAATAATAATAATAATAATAATAATAATAATATAATAACATTGATTATAGCTGTAATAATTAGAATAACACCAACCATGATAATACAGGACAATCATGACACAGTTTGGCAGTGAATAGATGTTTTAAGTAATGAGTTCAGCAAAATGTTGCTCAGAGTAGAGAAATCCCATTTTCGAAGGAATAAAATCTTGTTTAGACGAATGTAACACGAGGAAGAGTTGAAAGGAAAGGAGAACAATGTCATGAATATTATGCTCTCCAAAATATTCGCTGGATTCAGGATCCTTGTGACTAATTGCCTGTTACATTGCTACCTCAGAATTACATAGTTATATCTGCTCAGTACATCATCATCATCCAGTGCCAGATCTGCGACAGATATCGGCGATCATGGTTCTCCATTCATTCCTTTGCTCGGATGCTCTAAAAAAAAGCTACGTTTCCATGATCTTTCCCTGTTACCCATTTGTTTAGGTTCCCTAAGTATGTTGATCTGGGCCTTCCCCTGCCTCGCTTTGCCAGTGAGAGCTAGATGTTCAAGACCCTTATGTCTATTTATTTGTCCCAAAAACTGCATTTGTCGTTTCCTGATTGTTTTTTATCATACATAGTTTTGAAAAATATTACTTTAAAAATTTTGAGCTTCCCATCATGTCAAGATTTTTCAAAGGCAATTCTTTGAATATCTTGATAACGACTCCGAATAATCGTACGATTTTGAAAGAGCAGATGGGGCAATTGTTGTTGTTTTTTTCATCTCATGATCTTGGTTACTCAAAATGGTCAAACGCGTCAGACAGAACTTTGTAATTCTGAAGTAGCTACATGTGTAGAGAATCAATCGGTGGTGGAGTGGTTAGGCACTAGGCTACTGCACGCAGAAGGTGCGAGTTCGATTGAACAGTGGGGAGAACAATTTATCTCGAGTACATGTACATGTATCTCCGTCTCCTGTCTGTCTGCCGGGACTTTGTAGGGCCTATCCTACTTAGACTGGGCTAGCCCTGACAGACAGAGTCGAGCAACACACCTCCTTAATGATACAAATTGTGTCGATGGGGCTGTGAAACATCTACATTTACTATAACAACTATTAAGTACGCCTCCATAATACAACATCTTAGCATGACGTGCAGTTTTCAAAATAGTTTACCCAGTAAAAGTGAAGTAGAACCCCAGCCCCCTTCTGAAGAGGATAAAAATTAAACAAAACAAAGAAAACAACAACAACAACAACAACAACAACAACAACAACAACAACAACAACAACAA